GCTCATTAGTGTTCAAGGCCTCAAACCTGTTCCTGAGATGATTCTGAAATTCAGGTGGTATGAAATCAAAGTCATATTTTGGCTCCTGTGGATTTGGTTTCATTTTCCTCAGCTTCAGCTTGAACTTGCATATGACTAATTGGTGGTCTGTTCCACAACCAGCCCCCGGCCTAGTTTTCACGAAATTAATTATACATTTAAAAATAAAAAGAAATTTTAAAAAATTTTAAAAATGTTGTTACGTGGGTGCCTTTTAGTCCCTCCAGATTCGTAGTGGCCCAGTGTGCAGCTGACCAGGGCACTGCCTGGTTTGCATTTTTCTCACAGTCTGTTCTGACTCTGCTACAGCTCCTGTGTTAATCCATCCTCTCAATGGTCTTGCTCTTTTTCACTGACCCTCAGCTTGACCAAGTGTGATGTCCTTCTCCGGGCACTTGTCTCCCCTTAAAACATGTGTGGAGTATGTGAGACGATGCTCCTAAAAGAGCATTCTGACTGTACTTCCTCCAAAACAAGCAGTTTTTTATTCTTTTGACCGCCCATGGTATATTCAGTATTTTTTGCCGACAGTGAAATTCAGAGGCATCAGTTCTGCTTCAGTTTTTCTTCTTCACTAGGCAGCTTTCTAGGTGTATGTTGTCGTGTACTGTCAAGTTAGAATCGACCCATAGCTGACGTTCTGGTGGATGTTCAAAGGCAGTTACACGCAGGGCAGAAGATTGCCCTTCCTCCTCCAGCAGCTGGTGTCCTTGAACTGCATGTTTTGGGGATTGCAGCGCAGCTTCTGCCACTAGGCTGCCATAGGAAGCATTTGAATATATCATGTCTTTGGTCAGATGCACCCTAGTTCTTAAAGTGATGGACTTATTCTTCTGCACGTTAAAAGGGTCCTTGGCAGTAGATTTGTGCGATGTGGTATGTTTGGTTTTTTTGACTGCTGCTGGGCGTTGATTGTGGATCTAAGTAAAATCCTTGACATCTTCAGTCTTTTCTCTGATTACATAACTAATTGGGCCATGTGTGAGAATTTTTTTTGCTGTTGGGTTTGGTTTTGTTTTTACATGTTGAGATGTAATCCATACTGAAGTAGACACCTAATGTAGAAAATTGCTGTTATTTAGAAATTGCTATGATGTCAAGAGCAGCTTGGGAAAGTGGCCGTCAGATGAATTAAGTAGAGAATGATCTGTGGCACAATGTGACTGGGAGGCAGCCTGCGCCGTAGCAACTAATAAGAGAAATCAGCCTTCTGCCACAGGTGTTTGAGAAAAGCTTTGTGGAAGAAAGGTACCTGACTTTGTTATTTCTTTCTTCCTTGCTTTTTTCAGCATCATGTCAGCATTTTTCAGCATTGTGACTAGAGATAAACTGAGATAATACAGTTCCTTTTCTTGTATACGAGTTCTAGATCTATTTCTGTTCCTATCTGTAAGTTATAAGAATATTTATGTAAAAAAGGGTGTTAGGTGCCATCAAGTCACCTGTGACTCATAGTGACCCTGTGTACAGTAGCTCTGAAACCTGTCCTCTTCTGAGCCAATCTCACTGTCTCTGACACACTTACTCTCATTACTCCAGTTCCATCTCATCCAGGGTCATCGTCTTCTGCACTGTCCCTCCAACCCTTCAAAGCATGATGTCCTTCTCCAAGGATTGGTCCCTCCGTGTGTGTGTGTGTGTACACAATTTTTAAATTTCTTTTCTTTCACTATCTTGGCCATTTTTTCCTCATGCCCTATATAAATAACTACATCTTCCTTTAACTAAACTGCTTGGATTTATGCCATTGTATAAATTTAATCAAATAAATCCATTTCCTACTAATGAACAGGTTATTAGCTTTTTACCTACCTGTGTGTTTCCATTTATTATAATCAAAGGTGCAATGCACATCTTTTTTGGTGTATTATGACATATACCTATTTGATTATTTCCTTCAGATTCCTGGGAAGCAAATTGCTGGCTCAAAGGTTGTGTAATTTGAAATTCTGACAGATACTAGAAAATTCTTCCAGCTGTGCGTCCACCAGCACAGTGTGTGAGGAGAGTCGTTCTTCTTGAAGTAACAGGTCAATGGAGGCCATTCACGGTTTAAGAAACTTCTTTTGCTTCCTACAGTGACAGCAAGTGACAACGACATGTGATGTTTGACTGTGCTCTGTGGTGGTCTGCTGGCTGCTAGAAGAATCTGTCCTCAAGAAGACTAAAACTAAAGTGGGCTTCAGGATGGCAGAAGGGGTGCCCCCCAGTGTCTCAAAGGACTTGCGGGAGCTTCAGAAGAAGGTGTCTGTGATGGTGGAGTCTGTTCAGAATAACTCAAAGGTCAGTGTCCCATCAGTGCGTATAATCAAATCCCCCAAATAACTGTAGCCTGGGGTGGGGGGTAAGATAGGTGGAATGAAATAAACTATAAAGAGAAAAGTACTTAAGGTTGCTCTGGTGGCCTAGTGGCACGAATCTGCGCTGCAATCCTGAAGGGACATGGTTTGAGGCCACCAGCCGCTCTGCAGGAGAAGGATGGGCAGTCTCCTCCTGTGCAGTTAACTGAAAACCTGCTGGAGGGTCAGCTACGGGTCAGTTCTGACTCGATACACAACAACATTTCATAATGCTTTCATAGAAATATGATATATGAAATAACAATGCAGAAATGGCAAGTTTAACTTGTTAAAATAATATTAAAAAGTTCTTTTTTGCTACTATTGTCACCAGATTCCCCTAGGACACTCATGTCTGTTCTGGGATATGGTGCTGTCTAAAGACATGGTGTCTAAAGGTATGTTGTTTTGGCCTAGTGGTAAAGAGCTGCACTGCCGACCCAAAGGCACATGTTTCTAATCCACCAACTGGAATAAGATGGGCAATCCCCTCTTGTGCTATTTACTGCCTCTGGGAGCCCTCTGGAGGGTCAGCTGTGGTTTGGTTTGGATCCCTAGCAAACAACAACAACAACAACAAACAATAGAAAGTTGTTTTTCTCTAGAGAAGAACAAATGTGGAGGGAGATCAGGAATCCTTCTAGTCCACTACCTTTGTCGTGTCTAAATTTTTACTGTCACCCTCATTGCCCAAGATGGCTGCTGGCACATCAGCTAGCACATCGCTGTTCCAGGCAGTTAGATGGCGAAGGTGTAGAAACCTCTTGACGGCCACCCATTTCCAGTTTAAAGAGAGCTCCTGAAAAATCGCAGTACATCCGATTTTGTCACACCACCACACTGCCCAACTATAAGTGTGATCCTTTAGCTTCATACGGAGGCACAGTTTTCAGTCTTTACCACTGATACCATCCTTGTTTGGTTGGTTGGCTCATCTCCTACCCTAAAAGTGACATTCTCAGATGTGCATTTTGAGTCCCAAGGCTCCATAGTAGCACTGTGCAATAGAAATAGGATGAGAACCTCATATGTAACCTAGAAGCAGTTAGCGGGGCCTCCGTCTGACACTCGAAGCTCCATACACACAGCCCACACTGATGGCTGGGAGGCTTCTTTTTTAGGTACATTGGCAGGAAACCTGTGACTCCCAGTGGAATGCAAGAATTCTACCATGAATCACCAGTAATCTCAAGATTGTTTTTTTTTTGTAGCCCACTGCTGTCAGTTTGATCCCAATGCCTGGTGACCCTCCAAATTGTGCTGTATGTCCTGCTAGATTTCTCATGATGGAAAATACCCGCAAGTGTATGTAACAAAGTGATCTTTTTTTTTGCAGTCTGCTGCTTTTTTTTTTTTTTTTGTACAAGACTACATGACTCCCCCGAGGGAGCTCTGAAGGCCTAGTGGGTAGGGAGTGACACAGCCCACACAAATACAGGTAGTTTGGATCTATCAGTTGCTCCACAGGAAAAAGAATGACAGTTTCCTCTTGTGGGATTTACAGCCTCTTAAATAAAAAACTGGAGGGTCAGCTGAGAGTCGGTTCTGACTCGAGGGCATACAACAACAACAACAACAACAACAACAACAACAACAATAAGAAGTATAGTTCCATCCCGGTTCAGTGGAACACTATTTTGTGGTCTAGACCTATGTTGTTGTTATGTGCTATTGAGTCATCTGCAGCTCATAGCGACCCTATGTACAACAACAGCACTGAAGCCTGTCTTGTCCTGAGCCAGCTTCACTAACTCTGACACACCTACTCCCCTTGCCCCAGACACTGTATCAATCCATCTCACCCTGGGGTCTTCCTCTCCTGCGTTGTCCTTCCACCATTCCAAGCATGGTGTCCTTCTCCAAGGACTGGTCACTCCTAGCCACATGCCCAAAGTGTGTGAGATGGTGCTTCAAAATCCTAGCCACCAAGGAGAGACTTGGTTTCACCCTCTGCAAGACAGACCTATTTGTTTTCTTGGTGGTCCATGGTGTGTTCAAGACTCCTCTCCAGCAACACAAATCGAAGACATTGATTCTTATGTCATCCTTACTTATTTTCCAGCTCTCTGATGCATAGCAAGTAATTGTGAAGAGCATGGTCTGGATCAGGTGCACCATAGTCTCTAGACTGACATCGCTGCTTCTCAGTACTCTGGAGAGGTCCCTGAGAGCAGATTTACCTAATGCAATTTGTCTTTTGCTTTCTTGACTGCTTGTGCCAAGAGTGTTGATTGTGGAGCCAAGCAAGCTGTAAGTGTCAACAATCTCAGTCTCTTCTCCATCTATCATGGTGCTGCCAATTGGCCCAGTGGTGAGATTCTTGATCTTCTTGATATTGAGCTTCAATCCATATTCAAAACTATAGTCCTTGACCTTCTGCTGCAAGCACTTCAAATCCTCCTCAGTTTCAGCAAGCAAAGTTGTGTCATCTGCATAGTGCAGGTTGTTGATGAGTCTTCTTCCAATCCTGACGCCACAGAGACTTTTTCTAAACTCATTCCAGCATTGCTCTGGCAACTGGATTTACCTCACTATAGTCATACCTCACTTGATGTCTTTGATGCCTTCAGTGGAAAGGATATTCTGTGGTTTGTATGTTGTAGGAACAGTGCATCATCGTCTCATCTTGCTCTTTTTTGAAGCATCTTGAACCAGCTGTGTGCTTCAGCAGTGCTTCTTGTTGTTCTGAGAGATTTGTCTTTGTATCTGAGCCCCAGTCCACATCCTTAACAACCTCTCCATGTCTAATCTAAGGTTCTCTCGTTAATTTTGCAGTTTTCAGTGAAGCTGATCCTTTAACAGCTTGGAGAGGGGTTTTCCCCCCGCCTTTGAGGATTGTTCTAAGTGGAGCATGTGATATACCCAAATCACTAGCAATAGTGCTCACTGGTTTCCTCCTTTCAGTGTGTTTTGTTTTACCTCCAAATCAAGGCTTTTATCTCTTGCTGCTGCTCTCCCTTGTGCTGCTTTTGCTGTGTTGGGCAGCCATGATGTGCTTCATGGGTTTGTCACAAGAAAATTAGATGGTGAGCTCTGGTGGTCTCGTGGCAAGAAGCAGCAGTGCAATCCTGAAGGTTCAAGGACACCAGCTTCTCCACAGGAGAGCGTTGGGCAGTCTCCTCCCATGCGATTAACTGCCTCTGAAAACCCGCTGGAGAGTTAGCTGTGGGTCAGTTCCAACTCCACAGTACACAACAAAAACAACAGCAGTGCTGCAATATTCAAGAAATGTCCAGTACACAAGATTGGTTGCTGTATCATCGCAAAGTGTAGTGAGACAAAAAAAGAGCAAACATTGGACACGGTGTGAAGAGATGAGAACTCTCAATACACTGCGGGTGGGACTGTACCATAGTGTAACCACTGTGGAGAATAATAGTATGATGTTGGTATTGTTATGAGCCTCTGTGTTGTTAAGACAGCTGTGACTCAGAATGGCTGTGAACGATGGATCTGAAACCTCTCCTAGCCTGTGCCGTCTTCACCATCTCCTACACACTTGAACCATTGCTACAGGCGCTGTATCGATCCATCTTGTCAAGGGTCTTCTTCTCTTACACTGACCCTCCACCTTTTCAAGCATGATGTCCTTCTCCAGGGTCCCTCCTAACATGTCCAAAGGATGTGAGTTGAAGCTTTGTCATTCTTACTTCCAGGGAACACTCTGGTTTCACTTTCTCCAAGAAAAAACCCCCAACCTATTTTCTTGGCAAGTCCATGAGATGTTTACTACTTTTCAATGTAGAAATCTCATTATGATGATGATGATGATGATGATGAGTGTCATCAAATCAGATCTGACTGGTATAGGAGGAAATTGTCCCTCCTTCCCTGGGAGAGCATCTGGTGGATTCGAACCGTGCGCTTCTGGGATTGCAATGCAGCTTCTTGCCACTAGGCCACCAGAGCTCCCCGAAATCTTTTTTTTTCTTTTTCTTTTTTTCCGAAATCTCTTTTGACCTAACCACGCCACTGCTAAGTATGGATCTTGAAGAAATAAGAGCTGAGATAGGAAAAGATACAAGCACTCCCATGTTCACAGCACCATTATTTACAATAGCAAAGAGTGGGAAACAACTAATATACCATTAGTGGATGGAATGGATACACTGTAGTCTGCTCATAGAGTGGAATAGTGTGCAACATTAAGGAATAATGAAGAATCTGAAAAACACACGTGGCTACTAATAGAAAGATAGATGCTCAAATCCGCACAAAGGTACCTCAGAAGCAAAGTTTGGCAACTCGTGAAAAATCAGCCATTGCAAGTCCTGTGGAACACGGTTTACTCTGACACACATCTGGTGCCGCCTTAAGTTGGTACAAACTCGGTAGCAGTTGGTTTTAACCAGTTTTACAGGCTAACCAGGTTGATCCACTGACCTAATCATCACAGGGAGGTAATGAACTTTGATTTCTTGGCAATTTTTTTTAACTCCTTCATATTAGATCATGTTGTTGTTGTTGTTGTTATGTGCTGTCGAGTCGCTTGCGACTCATAGCGAACCTATGTGCAACAGCCTTAAACTCCGCTCTGTCCTGTGCCAATCGCACTGTCTCTGACACTCCCATCCCAATTATCCCAGTCACTGAATCAATCC